GATTAGAAAATAGCCAATTGCAAGATATGTTATATGTACTCAGAAAACCCTGAATATAAAAGAAATTATTTGTACCCATTTAGGAAACTTACTCCCTTTTATTCTGGCAATCAGACTTAGTTTTAAATTAGAGAGACCCATTATTAGGCTGCTTGGGGTTCAGCAGAAGCACCCCTGCTCTTGTCTATTTAAAGGGATTAGCTCATAAAGTAATATGATTAGTTTTAGCATTCCTTAAAACTCCATCTGGGCAATTTCTCATAGTACAGAATTATAATCCAGTGTCCTAAAATCTGGGATATCTGTTTACCATTATTCTGGGGTAAGTCAGTAAATTATATGATTCAGGGTAGGAAAGACGGTGGAATGAGATGGACATCATTACCTAAGTACATGTATGAAGATATGAATGGTGTGACTCTACTTTGTATACAACCAGAGACATGAAAAATTGTGCTCTATATGAATTGTGTAATATGAATTGAGTTGCATTCTGCTCTCACATATAACAAATTAGAATAAATTTTAAAAAATTATCTGATTTAGAAGTAGTCTGAGAATCCATAAAAATTATAAGCATCTTGCAAGGACTGATTTGACATTTTAAGAGACAAATCCACAATTCCTTACACACCCAGCAATAGAGAGATTGTAGCACTATGCTGGGTGGGTATCCGGAGATAACAGAGCAGCAGGCATTCGGGATCATTGCTAATGCACAGGACTTTTAGCAAGAGGTGAGAAACAAGAACTCAAAAAATAATTTACCATAGATATTAAAAATGAGGAGAAATCTGGGATTGGATACAAAAAGGTTGGAAACTTGTTGAAGCTGTAAGACACAGTCATTTCATTTTAACACTGATTAGGCACCCATGTTTTCTTGGCACTTAATCCCGTCTAAATTCCAGACCAACGTGCAGACCAACAGAGTGTGAATATGGTCTTTTGTTGGACTGACCAACCAAAGGAAACTATCAGAAGCAAAAGTTGGGCCAGTCAGAAAACAAAGTACAGGAAGCTAGTTGGTGTCTTACCGCAGAGTGTGCTGTTCTGAGATGGTATGGAGTCAGTTCCTGTGGTTGAGCCTTCCTGGACCACAGGCAATTAGTCATTGCTTCCTCCATTTCTGCAGTTCTCTGTTCTTACCTCTACTGTAGAACTTATCCTGCTTTTCCCTAGATTGTATTCCCATTCCCTAGCACAAAGGCTGGAACAGAGGAAGTAGCTAACAAATATGTGTGTGTGTTTTGTTTGTTTGTTTTTTGGCGGGATTCTAGGGAGTGAACCCAGGGGTGCTAAACCTCTGAGCCACATCCCCAGCCTTTTTTTGTATTTTATTTAGAGACAGGGTCTCATTGAGTGACTCAGGGCCTCACTAAGTTGCTGAGTCTGGCTTTGAATTCACAATTCTCCTGCCTCAGCCTCTTGAGCCCCTGGGATTACAGGCATGTGCCACGGCTCTAGGCACAAATGTGCTTTAATAGAATATTAGACTAAACGAATAAAAAGGTGAACAACCTGCCTTGTTTGGCACCTGCCTTGTTTGGCACTTTAGGGCCATAGGCTTGCCTTACTGTATTAGAAAGGGCTATTCTTGGACACAGGTTTGAGTTGGAATGAAACAGATTCTTCACTCGTAAAACCCTCTCTCAATCCCTTCAATATGTAACCTGATGTAACACAGCAGAACTTTATAACTGTATTACTATATTAATGAATATTCTAATGTAATGATTTTATTTATCAAGAAACCTATGGGAAATAATTTTTTGTTTTTTTCTTGTGGAACTAGGGATTGAACCCAGGGCCTGACAGCTCACTCTACCAGTGAGCTACATCGCAGGCCCAAAATAAGTCTTTTCACTGAAGTAAAAATTCATTTATTCATTGCATGTTTCTTAAGGGCAAAAGTGGGGGGGGGACCATATTTGAGGGAAAATAAAAGACTTTAAAAAATGGATACCCAATGCATCGCATCTTGCATCTTTATATTCAATGGTTTTCCTACGCACTCAATGATGGGATTTAGCTCTCATTTCTTTCTTTCTCTCTCCCCCCACTCTCTCTCTCTCTCTCTCTCTCTCTC